CCGCCATATCCGTCTAGTGAGGCTGCGGGAGGGGAGGAGGGGCGCGAGGGTGTCGTTGAGCGGGTTGCCGCTGGCATCGAGGTGCGGTGTGACGCGTCGCGTCGCCGCAGCCGCATTGAGCCTCGATTTAGTAGTAGTTCCTTGCTCCGATACAGCAAACAGGTATATTCATGTATATTACTAGTTCAATACAATACACTTTGTGAAATATTGAGAAACAAGCCGTATAAGTACGCGGTCCCGGCGACGCGACGCGTCACACCGCACCTCGATGCCAGCGGCAACCCGCTCAACGACGCCCTCGCGCCCCTCCTCCCCTCCCGCAGCCTCACTAGACGGATATGGCGGGTCCATACGTCGCAGGGGGTGTGCGGTACCCGCTGGGAGGAGGTGCACGGTGCAATTGGCGCGCGCGCGCACACACGTGGCACCGCGCTTCGCGTCACATCGCGCCTCGTCAACGACGACGAGCATCGTTTCCTCGTCCTCGCCGCCCTTTCGGGCTTATCAGCCACCATAGCGCGCCCTGTACGTACCGTAAGTACGCGTACACGGAGTGTCGGGCCGGCTTACCGTGACCGCCCGAAAAATCTCTGGATGTTCGCCGCGGCGAAAATCTCTGGATAACACGGTGGGAGCGGAAATCTCTGGTGCAATAATAAAACACCACAATGACCACCATACTCCATTGTTCGCAACATGGTTCCTAACAGGTCGTATCCTTCGATGTACGGTATGAACTCCGGAAGACGCTCCAGATCGTGAGTCACGGAGAGACAACTACCCAAGTGCTCCTGGGAGATCCCGGTTCTTTGTAGCTCTCCCTTGATTCGCGAGATGAAAGCATCTGGTCCAATGCCCGAAAGTATCGCGGTACGCAGGTAAGCATTATGTTCGGCCGTTGTGTCCGGGTAGGCACGACAAGTGATCGAGTGAGTTGCATGAAGGTATAGAAGTTCGCCGAGTTCAGCGCCCGGGAAAGGAGCGAACACCCAGACGTATAGTAGTAGTTGCGATAGAATCCGTCTGACATCGTTCAGCATATGTTTGCGCCTCTTGTTCTGAAGACGTACGAGTTGCACTCAGCTTGCCTGTAGTAAGTGAGGAGAAAGGGGCAGATAGGGTTATCTCGTATTGTCACTTGCTGTTGAGGGTCCCAGAGTTCCAGCCGCTCGCGGTTGTCCCAAAGATGTTGTGCAACTTCAGGGACTCGCTGGCGTATTCTCTCCATGTATCTCTTGGCATCGGAACTGTTCTTGCCGAGTCCCAAGGTACTTACGAGCACAGTGATCCCATGGATAAACAGATCGATCACCAGCTGAGAGTGAGATGGGTCATTACGAGTGGTTCGGGGACGAGTTTCACCTCCATTCGAGTGCGCACCTGCGGCTCCTCCATGAAGTCGTCGCGCACAAGAATATCATGCATCACGACATCTATCTCGACCCCATACGCTGCAAGTGGCGACCGAGCTACCTTGGCCTTATTTTGATCGAGTGCCGGATGGAAGCTGAAGACCGCAGCACGGAACGACGAAGGAGCGTCGTCCCCGATTGGGCCTTTAGACCGTAGTAAAAAAACTTGCCCTATCTCGCGCAGACTCAGGATAGGAGTGTCCATATGAGTACCGACTGGTTGAGGATAGGTGAAGTTATTGAAGATGGTTTGGGTGGTTTGGGTCCAACCAAGAATGGTCATCTTACAACGGATATAAAGCCACGTGGTGCGAGCGGATCACTGCGCGATTGCACCCGCTCATCGCGGCTCACCGATGACTTCTCTCCTGTACATAGCAACACTGTATGACTACACCAGACCGGTATATTCTTCTGTTGAGGTAGCAAGGCTCGAAACCTTGCTTGAAGAGCAGAGAGGAGACGATGGAATTATTCACGCATAGTCCACGACAAGAACGGAAACATTACAGCTTGAGCTTACGCCAACGTCACGCCAAAGCACCACTTCACTCTCCTACGCCTTCACTGGCGCCGGCCTAGCACTCTGCGGTACAAACACCCAATCGTCTTCCTCCGGCCTAACGCTCCTCATCCTCTCAACAGCAGCCTCCTTCCCGTTCACCAACTCAACCTCCATCTCATCAGCACTGAAAGTCTGAAGCTTGTCGAGGCGCTCGAGCGACCCTCCTACGCGACTTCGCCGGCGCCCTTCCCGTCCTGCGAAGGAGTGGCTTCTTCCTGAGCAAGAGCGTCGTCGCCCGCGAGCATGTCACGCAGGATACCGTTGAAGCCTGCACCGTCATCCCATGCGGTACGAGGAAGAAGATGAGGGAGATCGCTGATCGTCTGCGTGAGGGTCTCGAGCAGATGCTGGAAGGACCCGTCTTGACAAACGTAGACCGGCCGTCCTCCAATGCCACGGCCTGGAGGCACTGTCCTGACGTCTTTCATGAATACGCCGCCGTTTGCAAGGTCCTCGTAAGGGAGCGCGAGGGGATGACAGCGTTCACAGCGGCCTTCCGACTGAGATGCGCATCGCTTTTCCCGAACCTTAGCCGTGTCGTCTTGCACAAATCAAGCAGTGCTGCCTCGTCACTGAGAACGTGGATATGGCGATGATGGCTGTACAGTACTTGGAGCTGTTCGTGTCATGCGGAATCAGCCTCTGACCTTGACGGACGAGATGGTCCAGATATGAAGCTTCTACTTGTATGTACTCTCATTACACATGTGGGGCACGCATCTCTCATTGAACGCGTGTCTGTCAGGATTTTCATATGGCAGTTCGTATCTGCGAAGCAAAGCTGTAATCATCTGGCATTCGGTGCAAAGTGGCTTATGAATTCCATCCCGTATCTAGCATTTAAGTCGAGTTCCACATTCTCGTTTGTGCCCACGACAACTCCAGTCCCTACACATTTAGTAGTCAGCGCGGCGTTCCCAATGGCATGACATGCAATCACTTTTTCTGGCAGTCTTTCCCACAATACTGAACCTCTCCGCAACCACGACATGCAGATAGCTTCGAGGTAGGGCGAACCGTATTGAACTCGCACTCTGGCCAGAAGCAGAAGACGCGGCCTTCGCGTCTAAAGCGTTTACGCTCTTCCTTCTCGCTCAATCCAAGGGCATCTCCAGCCTCTTCCCAGCACGCGAGAAGAGCGAGGTGCGCCTGGCTATCTTTATGGCGATAGCAACCTGCTTGAAGCTTGGCCAAACATGGCCACCAGTGTTCAAGCGCGCTAGCATGAAGTTCAGTCAGGTATTGTTGTGTCACGGCTTTCTTCCACGCCGGACGACAAAGGGTGCAGAAATCGCGAATGTTATCGCACAAATCAAGTATAGGTACTACAGAACCATGTTCAGTCGTCTGACCCCTAAAGGATCGACCGTTGGCCGAAGGTCGTTGTCTATGAACTCACCTTCTGCAGAATGAGCACATTCTTCGATTGCTAGTAGTACACCACGACGCAGGAAGACGAAGACATGCTGGCCTCGGACGTTGAGCCTGGGTGGGATACCGTTTGCCAGGGATATGAAGAAGCCGATCCCAATCCCTCTACATCCTAGTGATCAGCACATCTCACACGATAGGGTATCTCATCGCAACATCAATGTCACCTTATGAACCCAGCAACATGGCCGTAGGTGATGAGGCGGTGAAGAGGGTCCCCTACCAGCCAATATTCCTCCATGATCCTCACCACACTATCCGTAAGGTTATGCTTCTGGAGGTAGGGCAGGAGGTCGGGAAGGAACTTCAGGTAATGCACTGATGCCATGCATGTACCAAGGCGATCCCGCGAGATTCTGGGTCTTTGCAGTTCTTTGTTGAGCCGGATTAGGTAGTCGTCCGGCCCGGTGGCATCGAAGATGGCATCTCGTAGATAAGCGCCGTGTAAAACCAAATCGTCCTCGGTCTCTGCCTTGAAACACTGGAGGGCGTGATGACAGTGAAGTTGAAGAAGTAGATTAGTCGTCCCTTCATCCTCTTGGGACGGGGCGTAGACCCATAGGTACAGTTGAAACTTGGACAAGACGTATCTGGACGTCCTCAGTCGATGTATTCAGTAGCAACTGATGAATAGAAGACGCACGAGGTAATATCAGCTGAGAGACTGTACGAAATGAGGAGCAAACAAGTCGGCTCATCTGCGAGGGCGCAACGGCCGTACCATAGGTTAAGTCGGTCGCGTTGATTCCATAGGTGCTGCACGACCGTCGGTGCCCGTCGCCTGATCCTCTGAAGAGTCGCTTTCGACGCTGGGTTCACGTCGCGATTGGCGCACACAACTGTTACGAGGATGCTCAGATTGGCCATCAAGAAAGCCATCTCTAGCTAGATGTGGCGTTACATGCTGTTCAGCGATGGCGAGCAAGTTTGGTTGAGTGACGCTTACCCTTGGTTCTGCGAGAAAATCATCGCGGAGAAGGATGTCATGCATAGCCTCGTCTATCCCGGCCTCACATCCTTCCAACGTCGAGTTCAGCGCGGAGTCTTGATCATCAAGTAGGAGGTGTAACTGCCGATTTGCAGTGGAGAAGGACACAGCACCATCTTCACCTCGAGAGCGGGCAAGATATACTTGCCCTATCTGGCGCATACTCATCATCTGGTATTCGCTGAGGGTCGACGTCGTCGTGTGGTTGACCACAGTGGTGGTACGAGTCAAAGAGCAGTGACACGCGTGAGTAGGGCGGATAGAACCTCCCCACGTGCTGCATCTCCTCAATAGGAAGCCGATTGGAGGCAAAGAAGCGCACTGATTAGTAATCAGCCCATCCCTCCCCAATGGCCGTGTTTACATCAGAGCAGAGGAGACGATAGAATTATTCGAGCATAGTCCACGACAAGAACGGAAACATTACAGCTTGAGCTTACGCCAACTTCACGTCATCGAAGCACCGCTTCACACTCCTACGCCTTCACCGGCGGCGGCCCAGCACTCTGCGGCACAAACGCCCAATCCTCTTCCTCCGGCCTAACGCTCCTCATCCTCTCAACAGCCTCCCTAACTTCAGCCTCCGCTTTCGCAGCAGCCTCCTTCGCCTTCACCAACTCGACCTCCATCTCATCAGCACTGAAGGTCTGAAGCTTGTCGAAGCGCTCGAGCGATCCTCCCACACGAGGAGCGAAGCGCGCCGCATCCCATCCGCCGTCGTTGTACGCCAGTACGGCGCGGACGGCAGCGGCATTGATGTCGCGATGGAGAGCCTCGAGACGACCGAGCTGAGCTTCCATCCACCGCGCACGACGTTCGAGAGCACGCGTGAGTGCTGCGACTTCGTCAGCGCCCTTCCCGTCCTGCGAAGGAGTAGCTTCTTCCGGAGCAAGAGCGTCGTCACCCGCGAGCATATCGCGCAGGACACCATCGAAGCCCGCACCGCCGTCCCATGCGGTACGAGGAAGAAGACGAAGGAGATCGCTGATCGTCTGCGTAAGGGTCTCGAGCAGACGCTGGAAGGAGCCCACGGCCGCGTCGACTGCACCTGGCGGCAGGCCTCCTGCGAAGCTTCCACCACCAGCGCTGAGAGCGCTTAGAGCATGTACAAGCGGTGCATGTTCGAGTGGCGCGGTGCCTGCAGCCCCAAGCGCCGAGGGATCGAAGAAGGGATGATGCGGGAGATCAAGCTCCGGATGCGCATCCGCGATCTGAGCGAGCAGATCCGCTAACGACGTCGGTGCCGCGCGTTCCATAGGCGTGGGTTCATTGCGCTCGAGCGAGTGGCCGCGCGATGAGCCGCGTACGGAGGAGGAATCGGCGACACTGTCGTTGGCCCCGACGGCGCTGATCGTATCAGCGTTGTCATCGGCCACTTCCTTCGGGATCCGGATCGGCTTCGTCGCGGCCGGCTTGTTCTTCTTCGGCATCTTGGACAGCAGCGGCGCCTGTGGTTCAGCGGGCTTTGGCGCCGGAGCGGGAGCAGGCACGGGCTGCGCAGTGGCAGCTGCCTTCGCTTTCTCCTTCTCCTTCTCGGCGCGAGCAGCAGCGGCGGCGGCCTTCTTGCGCTCAGCCTCAGCCTCCCGCTTCTCGCGCTCGACCCTCGCCTGCTCCTCCTTCGTGGCCTTCTCCTTCCGCTCAGCCTCGGCCTTCTCCCTCGCAGCAGCAAGCCTCTTCTCCTTCTCCTCGCGCTCCTTCTCCAACCTCTTCCTCTCTTCCTCATCCTTCCTCGCCTGCTCCTCCTCCCTAACCTTCCTCTCTTCCTCCTCCTTCGCCTTCCTCTCCCTTTCCTTCTCAGCCTTCTCCGCCTTCTTCACCGCCCTTTCCCTCTCCCTCGCCTCCCGCCTCTCCGCGCGCTCAGCCGCAGCCGCCGCCTTCTTCGCCGCACGATCACCGGCCGGCCCGCGAGGCGGCGCGGAGGTAGTGGTGGTAGACGGCTGTGGAGGCTGCGCCGTCAGCGCGGGGAACTCGGATGCGGACAGCACGACGGGGGGTTCGGCAGGCGCGGGCGCGGGGGACGGTGCTTGTGCAGCAGCAGCAGCATGTACTTGTACTGGCTGCGCGGCGACCGAACCGGGGCTCGGCACTGCGCGGGCACAAGTAAAAGTGTTGAGAGATTGCTTTTTGGTACGGGCATAGGAACAGGGGGCAGAAGCGGACGCGGGCTCAACAACAACGACAACATCATAACACAACGCGGACAGCGGCTTTTCATCTCTCTCATATATTTTGTATCTTTAGCGCTGACGCGCCAATAGCCGCCCGACAAGCGCCTGCCGCGCCGTCCGCACACCCGCACGAGGCCGATGGGAATGAAACTCACCGTGCGCGGCCATATCCGTTGGAGGAGTGGGCGAGAGACCGGGTGGCGGGTGAGGGATGCCGGGCGGGCCACCAGCGAAAGGCGAGAAGCTCTCCATTGCTGAGTTATGGTACCGGCCGTCGTGTTGGGTGAAGGACGCGGACATGATCGCAGGGTCGGCGAAGCCGGCATTCAGGTTGTACCGGTATTGCTGCTGTTGCTGTTGCTGCTCTTGTTCTACACAAATTTTGATCAGCCTTGTACACAATGCCCATAACGGGAGCGACTTACCCCGCGCCCGTTGTTGCTCCTGAGCGCGGCTCGACGCCAACAACTCTCGGAGTGCAGCTTCGCTAACAAGATCTTGAGCATACTGCTGTTGCTGATGTTGCTGCTGGGCCTGTTGCTGAGCGAACCGTTGCGTCGGTGCGGGAGAGTACGCCTGCGCGTGCTGAGCGAGCGGCGAGCTGGTATGCGACGCGAAAGGATGCTGGGCCCCATACGCGTTCCACTGCTCATACAGGCTTCCGTTTGCACTGTTCTGCCCTTGTATGCCGTCGCCGCTGAGGCTAGTGCTGAGCGAACTCGCAAGTCCACGTGGACTGGATACAGAGCTGATGCCACCCTGCCGTCTGTTCTGTGCGAACCCGAAACGAGACATCTTCGGTTGACCATCGTCCGGTGTGGCGCGTCGTGAAGTGGATGAACCGAAATCATCTGCGTTCTCGGCGAAGGGGTCAAACGACCCGGTGTAAGATGCCGGCGATGCCGGTGCGGGTGATGCGCGTGCCGCAGAGTCGTAGATCGAGCGTGCTGCGGGATACGCAAGGCCGGGAGGACCCATGAGCGGGCTCGCAGCAGCAGGATGGCGCAGTCCAGGGAATGCGTCCATGAACCCTCCGATATAGCCGTTTGCCGCCGCCTCGTCGTCCTCGGGCGTTGGCGCAAGTTTTGGATCGAGATTGAACGAGAAGCCATTCGTCTCGGATAAAGACTGGAGTGTGCGATCCAAATCGGGGAATGGACTGACGCCTGTCATCGGTGCTGCGAGTTCCCGGCGCGCTTTGACGTCGTTTAGCAAGGCCTGTACTTGGGTCGACATCTGGTATGTAGGCTGTCCCGAACCAGGCGCTGGCAAACCGGGTGGTGCTGCGAGCCCGGGTGGCGGCGCGAGACCTGGTGGTGCCGCGGGCAAACCAGGTGGCATAGCGGGCGTCGATGGCGCTGGCGAGTCTGCAGATGTCGGCGCATCGTGCGAGCCTGAACCGGTCGCAGAGCCAACATCCGAGTCGTGAGCAACAGATGAAGTCGGCGAACGCGGCGCGGGAGGTGGGGGTGGGGGTGCAGGCGTCGGGGGAGGTGTCGCCTTGCGCTTTGCTTTGGCCGCCGCCTTGGCTACGGCTGGAGCGGGCGTGGTCGGCCGGGCCGGTGTGCCGGGACGCGAAGGCGTCGGTTTGGGTGCAGCGGCTACCGGTTTCGTCGCCTCCTTCGTCTTCCAGGACGAGCTTGGTTCTGGCGGCGGATCGTGGTTCGTCGCCGTCGTCCCGGAGCCACGCGATCCTCGCCCGGGCTTCTCTCCCACCCTGTCGCGATCCCGCCGCGTTTGGCGTGCCGAGGGCGCTGCCGTGTTCGTGTGATTGTGGAGCGCGGTCGATGTGCTGCTCGTCGGCGGCTTGTTCGCCCACGAGGCAGAGCGCGGTAAACGTGCTGAATATAATCATCAGCGCAACTCCAACATCTCGCGAGAAAGTACAGACCGGAAGAGTCGTCCTTCTTGCCCAAGACGACCGTCTTGCGCGTGACCTCGGTGTCCTTGATCGCATGTTGGCTGTCACGGCACCATGTCAGCGCCTGTCCCGCGGAGTTGAGAGATGAACATACAGCGTCGTAAGGTCTTCTTTGGTAAAGCAGTCCTTCTCGTCGCCCCACTCGTGTAAGTTCATACACGAGTGATCGGAGCAGCTTACACCGCGCAAGAACGCCATGCAGTACTTTGTCGTACCATAGCTCGCACGCATGACCTCGTTCCCGCCGCCGGGTGAAGCCGACCCATCGACTGCGGCGATGCAACGTGCCGCGTCCTCACGACGGTGGTAGGTGATGTACAGGCCCACGACAGGCGCTGAACCGTTTGGCGGGGTGCGCTTCACGAGCACGATCTTTGAAATCCGCCCATATTGCCCGAAATAGTCGTTCGAGCGTAACGTTGAGATGAGCTGCGTAGGTGGAGTAAGAAAGCTCGGCGTGAGTGACATTGCCCGAAGATTCTGCCCACGGAACATACCTCTTCCTTGGCGAACCGAGGGCCGATGCCGACGACGTACACCACGTTGCGCTGCACGACGCGTACGTTCGCTAGATGCCGACGGCCGAGTGCGTCGAGATCCTTCCGCTCGCGCTCTCGTTGTTTCTTCTGCTGCGCAAGTCGGCGGCGGCTACAAGTCACGATGCGGATGATCAAAGGGTGTCCAGAATACAATAAACAAGAGGTATACGTACTCTTCCGGACTTACAGGTTTTTCCTGCAACGCCTCGTCCGAGTACTCGCGACGGCAAGCCGGACACTTGTTGTTCAAATTCTGCCGGATATGATTGTGGCAGAAGCGGCAGATCTTATATAATGAATATTGTCAGCGTACATTTACCACGTCGCACATCGGACAATCGCACCTGGTAGCCGCAGGGGCAGGGCCTAAAGTGGAGATCGGACACGTCCATCTCCTCGAGACAGAGCGGGCACTCTGCCGCTTCCTGTCAACCGAGTTCAGCCTCCGGCGGCGCGATCAGTTCGAGTCGGGGCCACGAACCTCCTCGTCGGACCAGTACGCGTCTTGGACGCCTGTGAGAACTTGGCTCTTGGTTTGCATCGTGACCGACGTCGGGTGCAGCTTCAGCGAAGAGGCCATTGGGCTTGATGGGCGCGCGGAACAAGGGAATAACGGGTCCAACACAGCGCACGCCGCGTACTGACCCAAACCCGCGAGCGTTGCATTCTCACGCATCGGCCGACACGTGCCCTAAAAGGCTCTCTCTTTTTCTCGGACATGAGGCTGGTGCGTGCATAAGGATGATCATATTGTGCTATAGACATGGCAGACATGGACAGAGCGCTCTACTCTACGCGAGAGGGAGAGTACTAGATACAGATGGTCGAAACTCGATGTGGATGATACAGTGGGGTTGCGGGGCTAGTGATGATGCTACAGTGCAGTGGGCAGACAATGCCGGGGAATATGGATATGATGCCGAGAACGATAGCAGCAGAGGATAATAAGAAACCGAATCGAATGGCGAGAAAGATGTCCAGGAATATGGTCACTGAACCGATGCATGGAGAGAAAGTCCGAAGAGAGAAACGTATGGAAGCCGATGAACATCGGATCGAAAGATCTGGTCATCGAGGAATGGTAGCCCGAGCGGCCCGCAGATGTCTCGATGGGTGGGCAGTCGGAGATCTAATCGTCGAGGAGGAAGTCCCAATCGCCCGCGCGCTGGAGATCGCGCTTGCTGGCCGCGCGGCACAGCTTCCTCCACGTCTCGCGCGCAGCACGCTCCGGCGTGCCCTCGCAAACGTCCCACATCCTCAGCGTTACCGGGCCCGGCGCATAGATTTCAACCTCGTCCATATCATACGCCTCATCGTCCTCTCGCCGCGGCGCACCAGAGAACCTAATGCGCGGCTGAATCGCGTTCGTGAAACCCGCAGACAGCGCAAGTTTCGCCGGCCGCTCCGGCAGGCGAATGGTACCGGCAAAGTCGGAGGGCAAATACAACGTGACGGGAGCGCCACTGGGCGCGTGCACGGAAAGCAAAAACGGCGCAGCGCGGGAGGTGCGACACTGCAAGTGATAGGCAGTTCATCAGTATACGTACTATCTGCAGATCGCTGGGCGGCTAACTAAACGCACCACTTTGGTCTTGACATCACCGTGCTGGCTGTGAACGTACATCGACAGCCGATGCGCGTGCGGTTGGTTCTTGGCGCGATAATGAGGTAGGAGAAGGTCGAGATCGACGGTCTCGCTGTCGGTTGCAGCGATGAAGTCCCAGTCCAAATGTGGGTTGAAATGGATCTTGCGGGCTCCAGGTCCACATGTGGATGTGGGTGTGCAAATAGTGGAAGAAGACGAAGACTCGTACTGCAAAGTCGCATCAGTACTGCGCATACAACCAGCCAGCACACGACCTACCGAGTTCGAACTGTGTGCAGTCGAAGGGCGCGTCATATTTGGCCACGAAGTGCGAAGGAATAAGCGGGTATAAGCCAAGGACGCGTCTATGTGTGGGATGCAGGGCAACAGAGCCGAGGGGCGAGGAAATATGTACTCTGACCGATCGACTACACCCGGCCTTCTTAAGCTCGTTGACGCACGAACCACGCGCACCTGATCCGGAACCTGCGTGCCCTTTGTTCAGAACACAGAACACCGCAGACCCGCAGACGCGAGCCAGAACAATTGGCGCCCAGGCACGCGACCGTTGCCCGTGAGAAGGGCGCCCGATTCTCGCGTTGCCTTGTCCGCGTTAGGCGCGCCGCCCGTCCCGAACTCAGAGCCGCCTGTTCGAACGTGGCTTTAGCATTCAACGTACGGAATGCGCATATCGTAGCGGATCGACATACCGAGAACAGAAACGTATCTCTTGCACTGCGGGATGAGACGAGCGGCTTGTCTTGCCCAGGCTTCTGTGTCGAAAAAACTCTTCCTCATCTCCGGTCTCTAGCGCCCGCGCAGAAAACAACGAGCACCATAACCGGTAACCAACGCTGCAGTCGTCCTCCGTTCTAACAGTCCGTCCTTGTCCGCTTTCGTAGCGCCGCTTGTGAAATTGCCGAGAAGATTCAGCAATGAGTTGCTGCAGAGAAGCTCAGATGCCCACGCGTCGCCGATGCGAACGGACGGGTGGACAGACAATTGTCTGAGTCGTGTGTACGGCCGGGCTCTAAGGGTAACGCTGGCTGTTCGGGCCACAGTTCCAGTGGTCGAGCTTCCGCCCCTTCCATGAATCGCCGTATGGTGGACGAACGTAGTCTACCCCATGGAGGGTCGAACACCACCAGATGGATAACACGCTGTTCACACAATGCGTCCCAAACGTATTGTCCTCGGTCATCGAGGCGTGTCCGGCGCGACCCCGATGTCATAGTGATCCTCAAGCGGGTGCGTAGTAGTAACGCAGCGTGGGTATCGGTATGATCATCGGAGATGCAGCCTCACGCTACTACTGGCGTCGGCGGTACTTTAAGCGGAGTTTTTCCAGCGGCGACGCTGTTGGAAGGCTGAAGGAGACGTCCCGAATGGAGGTGAAGTTTGTTCATCGTTGAGAGAACTAATGGCGGGATGCGATGACGCTCTGAGACTGGTCTGGTGGTCCATGAGACTACCGATGCCCGTGAAGCCGTGAAGCTTGAAGCTTGATCTGTCAGCAGGATACGGGAAGGGTAGACCGTGCGCCGGACGGGCGGAAGCTTGTTCGATGGTTTCCGAGTTTGCTGGCAACAAGGCGCTGGTTGTTCGAGATGTTGACCACAGATCGTGAGTTCAACTCAGTACAGGTGTAGACGCGAGCCTGTGCAACGCGGAAGCAGAGCTTATCCGATAATTCTGGATGTCCTGACCTGAGCTTGGAGGCGAAGAGACGCTCGTTGGCGTGGCTGTTGCACACGGTAGATCCCATGCGAAGGTGTAGGTTTGATGCTGGTTTGAACCAGGTGCTGGGCTTGAGCGGTACTCTTTTGGGGGTCAGCTGACCATGAAACGCTCGCCAACGAAGTTATTCATGATTCAAATCGTCACAGAGATGTGAGCCATTCATGGTCCTGCGTATTGACCATTGAGCAGTCGGGATATGCTCTAAAGTCTGACGGCCAACCTTGTATGCGGTATCGATGCGGCTGTTATAGGCGAGAACGTCTTCTTGGAGTAGTAATGCGCCGGGACGGCCTCCTACAGATGATCATCTGCCGAGAAGTATTCGAAGAGTGGACTGGTGTGGGTCCAAATTGATCCATTGCCAAGATTGAAACACGACCACTGGTAGAGAGTTGGAAAAGAGCTTGTTATCTCAGATACGAAGCAGTTACGGCGAGTATCTGCTGAATGTATTCGTCGGTACCATTCGTGCAGGCTGAAGTAAACGGTCGCTAATGACCTATGGGAGATCATGGGCATTGTCCTTTCTCGGAGCGGAACAGCGCAAGGCGCGTTGCCCATCGAAAGGGAAGGACATCGCCAGCATCTTACATCGATACGTCCCGTGCGCCTATCTAGAACAGTACCTATCAGCTCGAATACACCATGTACTGGGGGCACAGGCACGCGTACGTTCTTTCCGAGAGTCCTGAACTAAGGGTCAAATCGGTGGCGCGATCCTTGGTGGTTCAAGGCGCCCACATGCCGAGATGCAAATATAATCCACTTCCACTAAGACGAGCTGAGCATACGGATGCCTTAGACGAGAGGCTTCAATCCATGCAGAGCTTTCTGACCAGACGAGTGAGGAAGTAATTGATCGTGGCTTTCTGAGCACGAGTCGGCTTGCAGCGAGATAGCCGGCGCGAACGTTGAGTGGCTGAGGAAGCGGCCTCACGGCGACTGTAGCCTAGGCGTCTCTCTTGCACCGCCTTTTACCCGTGCTAGGATTGTATCATGAGTTTGTGCATAAGATGGATAGATGAACTCACAGGGAACTAGTACGAAATACGTCCTGAGTTCCCGTTACAGTGAACCTGTACAGCCAGCGTATTCGCTCCAAGAATCAGCAAGTGGCCAAAGCATAGAGGAGCTGTTCACGTACCAAGCTATAGGCGGAACCGACGCTGTCATGGTGCTTGTTGTAGATGATGTCAGATACGAGAACCATTGAGATAGTTAGCCGCATTCTCTAGAACATTACGTCGGCATGCACGAATGACCGTCGCGATGGAAGGGAGTCACCACATATTCTAGTCCAGATGATCAGCCGCGCATTATCGTCAGAAGCCAGGTCAGAAGCGTACCGCGTGGCTCACTGAGGTACGTACGTGGAGAGACTGCGTGAAAGATGAACCTAAGAAGGCGAACAAAGATGTTAGCGGCCTTCTCTCCAACGCTGCACCCTGCGCGCCGAGCTAGACAGGCGTCGTTCCGTCAGCAAACCTGCACAAAGGTACCAAGCACAACGGAAGACAGCATGAGAACCGGGGGGTGCTCTCAGAGATGGTTTGTCATGTCGTGGACCTACAATCAGGTTCGGCGTACAGTCGACGTCGCCGCGCATTCATCGCCACTTCCGAGTGACAGGTCTCACGTGGAACGACGCGGGCGGCCGCGGCCTGCGTACGTCGAAGGCCCGATACAACTTCCTGTTTGGGGGCGTACGCCTGCCACCATTGACACCATCTCTCATTTCTTACCGCCATTCCGAACCTATACGCGAATACAGATCTGCGACGTCTCGCATCTGGAAGGTGGTGGGCGCGGCACAATCCGCAGCGACAATTCGTATCAGAGCACCCACGCTCTGAGCCAAGAATACCAATGTATCTAGTTTACATCGTTCAAGGTTAGCTAGCGACCGCGAGTGTTGGGCGAGGAACTCGTCTCACTAGTTCGTCGTCTGAGATATATTCTGTACGCCGGGCGAAGCGAGAAGTACAATCTTGCACGTACGCTCGATATCACAGATGTGCGCCGGCTTTTCCCGCAAAAGGCCGGCGCAGAGGCATCGTGCGATGGGTTCAATACTGGTTCGCTTTGAGCATACGGAGCGTTTCAGCGGCATCAACTTGCTCCTCGCGCTTTCTAAAAGGGTAAGTATCCCGAAGAAGTAAAGGCGGAGCCGCGTGGAGCCGACGGGCATGGTCCCACGTAAAGGGCTGGTAAGACGGATTATACCATGCACCTAGGCAGAATTAGTCAGTACACAGCACTCATCACTCGAACGATCAATACTACATACCCAAGTTGAAACGCTATACTGTGGTGAGCCGGGCTGCTGGACGAGCTGGGCGGATACGATATTCACCAGGCCGAGTCCCAGTGACAGTGACAGCAACCGAGAGCACCAGTCATATCTGACGCGTTACCATGAGATCCTGACATGCGTACTATCAGTATGGCGATGGACAGCATATTCATCGGTCTGCGCCCACATCGAACGAGCCAAACAGTGTGCTCCTACTGTGTTCACACGTGGTTATTAACCGGCTCGTAGTGTACAGCGAAAGTACGTAAATCAAATGTGGCTTCCTTCCTATTTGTGCGAGTCTCGTTACCGATGTTGAAGCGACGACGCCAAAAGTCACAGCAGCGACGATGGTCGCAACACGGAGAACAATGTCGAAGACCAGATGGTCTCTATGTTCCCCGTGAATGGTGCACAGCGCTGTGAGTCGCGAGCACGCGTTCGTAGAACTAAAGAGGAAGATCAAGCCGGAGAAGAGTGTGAACGTGGGTATATCGTACGCGAAGTTTCAGACGCCATGCTGATGATGCTCCGGATGTAGCTAGAGGCGATGAAGGCCGAGCGACGTGGATAGGAGCCCGCAGAATCCAGATGGGAAGGCGAAGAAGAACAGGGCTTCCGGTCTAGACGTAGCAACGGCGACCGCTGATCCTGCTTGACGAAACGTCTTGCCAGCCGACGCGGGTTCGTGGCAGCCTTGGTACCTATATTGAGTGAAGTCAGTACGAGTTGTGTCACAGGTTGGACGCAGCGAGTCGTGATCCCGCGTTGTATGTAGACGCGCCTTCCTGAATGCAGACTGGGTATCACCCCGACGACCGCGGTCTTCCCTTGAGACAGTAAACCCTATTGCACCCCTACGTCCTGCGACCCTCAGGGCGAACATACACGCTCCAAAGTAAGCCCAGCCGGGCTGCCTGCAGCTCGGGCCGTAGCATCACAGGCCGAGTCCATCATGTTTTACCGCAACTTTGAGAATCGTGTGTTTGCCCAAGAAAAGCCGCTGGCGCCCTGGAGCAAGCCCATCTTCGAATATGAGAAATAAGCTCCATAACACCCTTCGTCGGTCGAGATGATACCGGCAAATCGTGAGATCCGACCCTCAAGATATAGAAGATATAACTGCGAGAGGACTGCCGTCAGTATCTTGGATATGTAGGTGTCTGATCTGGGACAGTCGAGCGAAGATATACGCACATTGAGCCTTGCACCTTTCCTTGACAACTTCATCTGCGAGCCCGCCAGGGCACAACACATCTTCGGCAGTGGTACGTAGGCAGCCATTGACGATCGCCGGGAGATCATGATAGACGATAGGGAGTACCACAGATGCGAGCATCATCGGGAGTCAGGAAAATCCCACACGGGCGGCCTCTAAGTACGCTACGTATCAGCGGGGTCTATATATCTTAGATCAGTACGTACCAAGGGACTGGCGCTACCGGTAATCTGGGGCTTCTTCGACCACGATGACTTCGGAGGATCATTGAAGTAGCCAGATTCCCAAGTACGGTCGGCTGTATATTAGACACCGAAGGAGCGAATACTTCAAAAGTCATCTGGCGAACGACATACATAGTCTACGGAATGGGCTAAGATCAGGGTTGGTGCTTCGTTCAAGAAGCAAGGAGGACGAACCAGGGGGACGACGGGTACAGCCGTGGCGTTTATCGATAGCCTATGCGTTTACGGCTGTCGTGAAAGGGCTTTCCCAGTTTTCTTCCGGCATTTGACGCGCTTGAAGGCCTTCCTGTCTTATTCTTGTCAGACAGACACAGGCAGATATAAGGCGTACGCACGAACTCTGCAGAGCAGCTGATTCCCATTGGATTCCGCGAAGTGGCATGAGTCCCCGCGGCTTGAGAAGATGTAGTCTCGTTTGGTATACCCGCGAGGAGTACTGCCAGGGCGCAACCGGAACCGGGGATATCTTTGGCTGCTCGACATGTTGGTTTCCACGGACTCCTGCGCCCCGAGAGAGAATCAGGCAACAATAGTGGGTTATATCTTTGCAACAATATTATTTTCCGTGCCCTGCTACGACAGCGCTAGGAGGGAATGACTGCTCGGACCCAACCGCTGTCGTCGTCGAAGATCGGAAGCAAGGTCTACGCGCAGCGCGGCGTCGCGTCCGCCTCAGTGACATCAACAACGCGTTACGTCACGGTAACAGTCCTCGGCAGTCTCGGGGTTCCTGTGCCCAACCATTGTTCGCGCTCCGCCGCACTTATTACTTAGAAGATGTGGGGATCCCGGGTGCATGCCAGCGCGACTGCCTCCAGCCAAAGTAGCACAGAAAATATGACCCAGCGGTATGCATGGCATGTAGGTCGGTATACAATGAATAAATACACAAAATACAAGTTAGGCCTCGTGGCATGGTATCTCCGTTTCATCAAACGGCTACAGGGTCTCCTACTTTCTCAGGTAGTTTGACCGATTGAAGCTCTGACTCTTCGCCTGCGCCGCTTGTCTGTCCATTTACATCATCGATCGAAGGGTCAGCATGGACCTGCCGAAGCTCGTGCACGTCAATGTCAAGAAAATGATCTCGCCCTGGTACAAAGGGAGCTGGTTTGGCATGCGAGCCTGTGCTGCTGACAGTGCTCGTGCCTATCCATGGTTTATGTGCTGGAGTTGAATGAGATCCGGAGTGCGAGTGCGAGTAGCGCGACGGGAGCGTGGAGGAGGCTGCGGTCGTCGTCGTCACGCTTTCGATGTAGGAGCGCTGCGAGTGGACCAGTATGACGACGATCACAGGATAGATGCCCTGATCAGATATCAGCCGTTGAGAGACGAGACAAGATAATAGACGCGTACGAGAATATGACTCGTCATGTACGTCCAAACAGTACTCGCGAACTGCAATTGAAGCGTGGATTCTTCGAGGTTGGGGACGTTTCCTGCATCGTCTACGACGGCCGATAACTAAGGAGGCGGTGAGCGCTTGGACTGCATCCAAATAGTTCGTTTCTTACGAAAAAGAAGAAGTAGATCACTCCAGATTCGATCAGGATAGTCATGATCTTCTCAACGCGCGTCTTTCTGTTGTTGGATCGTATGGTGGTTCCAATGGTGCGACGGTAGATCCTATTGATCAGTCGGTCACATCTCACTGTCATGATCCCATTCATACGAGCCCATACCAAGTCTTCCAACAGATCATGGCCGTTGCCACCGCCGTGGTAGCCAGTGCCATAGAGTAGGATGCGATCTGCATATTGACGCAGAACGGAGGATTCACGAAGTCGCCGAGTTCGGGGTCCGCGTCAAGCTTTGCCACGCAGTACGCGATGAGACACGAGGTCGCTTGGCGTATGTTAGTACCAAATGTCGCACAAGCGGGGTTATACGCACTGAAGGATCCCACTAGGAGGCTGATAGGAAGAAGAAGGACCCAGCGTTCGCGCGGATCCCTATAGAATGCCCATGTACGCCAGATGATAACGACATCTCCTAGATTTGACTGCACAATGAATTAAAATGCTTCTAGGAGAGAAAAGGCAACGTAAAGCGATGCGTACCATAAAGGCATACAGAGCGTTCTCAACTGGCCAAGGCAAAACGAGGTTATTATACCGGTCAGCTAAAGTCCCGGACGCCGTAGCGTAGAGTGTGAAGGTTATCTCCCGGATGGCGTTGTTCACATCGATTATACACATAGCCGTGTCGAGTAATAGCATAGTGAGAACGACACCAAAGATGCCGATGGAGATCTTCGTGCGGCTTTTAGAGTTGCTGAAGGCGTGTCAGGGACGCAGCATCTCAACATGTCAAACTTCGCGACGTACAGGAGAATACGTCCAGCGAAGACGACAAGGACAAAGTATATAGCTGGGAACATCCATCAGAATGGAAGCGGAAGCGATCTCGAATGACTAACTGCTCACTGTACAAGACGGACTCCACAACGAGCGCAACGATGTTCTCCACAGTATCATGCCCGATACTGTTTAGAGTCTCGATATCCGAGTCCGATAGCGTCGAGTTTGGTGCTGACATGGTGGACGGGCGCGCCAAAGGGCGGTGACAGCCTTGAGCACGGGTACAGTAAGCCAGCGCTGTTATAAGCTGCTTTGCGGCGCTTCACTATAGAGTTCGGTGGTGTGTCCGGCTCGGTGCCAGAACGGCCTGCGAATGGGCCGGAATTAGATCTCGACACCAAAGATCGAAACACTGGGAGAAGTGGCGATGGCGCGCTGACGATAACTTATCATCAGGACAGCCTCCACTCAAGTGCATAGAGCGAACATGCAATCAGTATATGAGCGCGTACTAGAAGCCCATGCTGATTAGGCATGGTATGCGGCCTGTAGGTCTTCTGGTCGAATCGCTCCACACAGGAGTCGAAACTGTTCTCGTGTGATGGACGAGGACGAACGCCACTTCCGTGCCGAAGGTCGACTATGCGTGAGGTCTGGGATGAAGCGGCCAAAGCCAACCGCTATCCAGCCACTTCGAGTAAGTCTTTCTTACAAGGAACCTGTCAGTCCTCCTGGCACAAGGCGAGATGAGACCCTAACTCACTCAGTCTATCTGTTTCCCAAGCATGGCCAACTATTGGAACTCGGGTCTTGGGACTTGTTATGAAGAATCCGACCTCTTCCCCGCTATTGACGGTGTAACCATTCGCTACCCACTCGCGGGTATCAAGATTAACATTCCCTCGCCGTCACGATGTGCTGATTGGAGCTCGTTCGGAGGCCCGGAGAGTATTAAGCGCTTGTCGTGGTCTTCGGAAACATGACGGGATTCCGGGCGAGCGCAAAAGTCGTTGAACCATTCGGCATTTGCCGAACACCACCTGCACTTCTCTAGGCAGCGAGGTATTAGCGAATGAGGCCGCTTTATGGGATATGAGGCTCTTACCTGTAGACCTTGTAGTCGGGATTGATTTTCACCAAGGTTGGTCGATCCTCAGAACGTAGACGCGGTTGCTGTGCACCTCGTGCACTCAGCCGGCCGTTTCGGGCGAGGTCTTTCCCAGGCTAGCGCAGAGGCGTTAGATCACCAGACGGTATATCGATCTGGCAGGCAGAAGACGGGCTTTCTCCTGAGGTACCGTAGTTGGCTCAGAAGCCGCGCCCATAGAGAACGGTTCCAACCAAAGAGGCTTCGCAGCGCTACAACCGTACACTCAAGTAGTGAGCTTCTGTGTGCTGAAACGGATGGGTTCAGCCGATGTACCCACACAGGATCCCATAAAGAACGCACGCGCGGTGAACCTTTCGCCGTCGCCTGCCCCATCGATACATGACTGTGACCTCATGATGAACCTGAGCGCTCGTCTCCCAAACATCATGATGCGAAATGGCCCGGGGCTAGCATTTTCGGTGGTCGTGGTGTGTGGCTTGGTCACCTACGCTCTCTCTGTGCTCACGATGAGGCGAGTCTTATGGTTACCCATCTTCCTCTCCGGAGTGTTCATCGTGGACGGGTCCGTTGTGACACCTAAAGTGGTCATCGTCGACTTCGTGCGTGGCTGTGAATGTCACTTCATAATCTCGACTGACCATCATGTAGTATGGAGACGAGGCCAACATCTGGCACGACATACCAGAATTCGATCTGTTGGCTCAGAACATCAGCGTCCCAGGCCTCTCGAGCAAGTTCCCAGACGTTCACTGTACCCTTGATGGCGAGATCTGCCAGTTCGTAACCGACGAAGGGGAGATCAACGCTGCCGCTACGGCAACCGCTTTCGTTCTATCCCCGCTTTTCGACCTGCGACAATCGTACTTCCTCCTGGGTGGTGTTGCTGGCATCAGCCCCAAGGTGGGCACGCTCGGCTCAGCCGCTTTCGCTCGTTTCTCTGTACAAGTGGCCCTTCAGTATGAGTTCGATGCTCGCGAGAGACCAGAGGGCGCACCTACCGGTTATGTCCCACAGGGAACGACCGGTGTGGGTCAATATCCCAAATACATCTACGGGACGGAAGTATACGAGCTGAACGACGCTCTGCGACAACACGCTCTCAACTTTGCGCGCAACGCAACACTCAATGATACATCAGACGCGCAAACATACCGAGCACTGTACGAAGGCGGGGATACGGACTACTCGGCGGCGACGGCTCCACCCTCCGTCGTAGCGTGCGATACGGCAACATCGGATGTATGGTGAGTGCCCTCATGTACCAGGCATACCCGCAGAGACAATTCTCAGGTATACTGCAGGTATTCAGGGAACCTGCTAGCCGAAGCCTTCGAGAGTACTATGAACCTATTCACCAACGGATCCGCGGTGTTCTGTACGACGCAACAGGAGGACACAGGCGTGCTCGCCGCACTTGTGCGCGGAAACGTCGCCGGGCTCGTCGACTTCACGCGCGTCATCGCCATGCGTACGGCGTCGGACTTCGACAGACCCGCGTCGGGGATGCAGGCAGCAGATAACCTCTTCAACGGGCAGAACGCCGGATATGGTGTCTCCATCAACAACATCTATCTTGCCGGCGTGCAAGTCGTCCAGGGCATCCTGTCTGGTTGGGAAGCTACTTTCGCTGCAGGCGTGAAGCCGAAGGACTATGTAGGCGATATTCGAGGGTCACTGGGAGGGACACCAGACTTCGGCCCTGGCGTCTAGTTCGGGCGAACATATTCAAGATTCTGGCGGGCCGTGGCATTCATTTCGAGAAGACAATGGCTTGCGATCATGATACCCTATCTACTACTGTTTCATGTAATTCAATGAACATTCCATGGACTCCAGAGAGTGAGGCGTACGATAGAAAGTCGCTCAAGGTGGACGAGCACTCGAGATCCAGCGCGCTAGCACCTCCTGTATCTTCTGTCTGCCTGAGACTTGCGTCCTGTGCTCTAGACCATGTTGTTAGGACACGGGCCTGTTCGAACCGAGCTGATTGACAAGAATCGGGGGTTCGGCAAAGCCGGTGATGGTCAGAAGCAGCTCGGAAGCGCGTCGAATTCGGATTTGCCACAGCCCACCATGGCCGTCCGCGTCGCCATCATCATCTGCGCGACTTCCTTCCTACTCGGCATCCTATTCACTCACTGGATCGCCGACTCGCTCACGCTATGGAAGGCCGCGCAGCTTGAAGGCGCCGACTCTCGCCTTTGGGCCGCCGCATCATATTATCGGGTTTTGATGTCGGGCGACCCACGAAACGCATATGTGGCATTAGGCGTAGCGACACTGGGCGGAGTGTCGCTGGTTATGTCCTTGACCGATGGCAAGGCATTCAACTTGATGTTCGACGGAGGAAGCACCTGTATGTATACTATCTCCTATATTATTGCGCAGAAGTGAAACTAAACATCCTCTGTTAAAATAGTCCTGTTCGCGACAGCAGGGGCCATGTATTCGTACAATGTGCTTCCTATATTGCTTCAAGATATGGCAACACTCTCCTCGCCGGCAGCCAAGGACGCACCCTTCCCACCCGAACTTCGTCTGCCAACCATGTCGCTGGCCAGCTCGCATCTCGTCTGCTCAGTCACTCTCACGGGTGTCATTCTACTTCAAGCCGCGCGGAGATGGTCAGAGAGGGAGGACTCGGGGGTGCCAGAGTTGGCATCATCTACGCCTGCAGATAAGACCCCTGGGGATGCGAAGCCGAAGGCGGCGAAGGGCAAAAAAGCAAAGGCCGCGTGATCGTGTCGTGGCTTGGCATAGTTTTGGACTTGGGTGGACTATATGGTTGCGGGATCTCTACATTCGGTGTAACTAATGTATCTGCATGTAAACTTATCTGCTTCAACAGCGGGTCGAACCCCTGCACCGCTAATAATCTATTTGCAAGTTTCTGAGATAGTACCGATCATTCAGACTAGGTACGAGCACAAGAGGGCGGCACGCTGTACCTTGAACCTCCCGACATCAATCTTTTCCTCACAATCAAGGGCTCTGTCCTTCCCCCCAGTCATCGCGCTTCTCCCATTCGACGCGTTCTGCTCCCAGCTCTCCCCGAAGCTCGTCTACGATCTCCTGTGTCACGTAATGGCAGTCATCCATGACAAGCCGCTCAAAACTGCGGCTGGCAGCGTGGTCTGTTCGCAACTCCGCCACCAACTCGCGGAGAAGGTCCAATCCCAGGTCCTCGACGTAGAACCGCCTCAGCACAATGAACGCCAGAACTGGGAAGATGGTGGCGCCTCGGGTGCGCAAAGCCGTTACCAACGCTTCGGCGTCATCGTATCCATTCAGGATGATCTCGCGTACATTGATGTACAGGTCGAAGCATTCGGGGTGAAGCTTCCAAAGATCCGCAGTGAAGAAGAGGCTCTCGGTGTTGGTCACGACGGGTTGAGAGACGACCATGTCAAACACTGCTCGTTTGATGGAAGGCTTTCCTGTCTGTGGAAGCGCGAGCTCGAGTTTGTGAGGAAGTAGGGACGCTTCGGCGGGATCGGCGGGGTTTGATTCGGCCCATACCGCAAACTCGAAGGGGATAACAGAGCTGAACGCGACACCTTGAGAAGTGGCCGGCATGAAGTGCTGCTTCATGGTTGCCGCGCATCCTGATATGAGTTCCAGCGCGGCTTCTTCGGGCATTTCGTCGACGAAGTCGTCCCATTCGCAGTGCAGAACCTCGAGGTGGCATTGGGATGGCGCTGCGATGTAACTAAAGATCGCCATGTTCTGCACCCAGAACCCGCCGAGGCTCATCGTCTTGAGATGCCGGAGAGGTATACAACGAGGTTGATGTACGCTCGATGGTTCGAAGTCGAACCCCTCCGCTGGAGATCGGCTGAAACGGTAGACCAGCTTCTCAAGCATTGGCACCGCTCTCAGACACTTGACCATCGAGTCGATGTCTACCCAGGCCTGAGTGTTGAAGAGCCTTAGGCTACGAAGGCCACTGCCGAAAAGTGAGGGGGGTGGTGGGCGCGGCAGAGCGCAGTTGCTGAGCTCGATATCGGACAAATGAAGAGGATGTTGTCCGCCGAAGAGATCATTGCTCAAGTTGATAGGAGTCCAGCGACCCGTAATGCCCGAATCGATGGTAAAGTTGAGATGCAATTGCTCCAGAGTGGCATTGGGGGCACCCAGGGTCCCCAGCAGAGCGTCGAACATAGACTTGGACCTGTCAACCAATGGGCCTTCGGGAGTGAGATAGCGAGCCAGAGTTGCCCGAACGCTTCTGATACGCGGCCACGCAGACAATGCTTTGACAGCGGCCGTGCGGTATCCCTCGTCTTGAAGATGATCATTCGTGAGGATCACATCTAGCAGCGCGGAAGGAGCGCGCAAAAGGCAGATTGACGTCCATTCTGAGCTCTTTCGAGGAACGGTCGACCAAAGTTCCTGCGTAGTGAGCGCGATGTCCCTCCATCTTTTGTTGACATGGCTGAGCTTCGCGCATGGGGGCGCACCGCGCCCACGGTCTCTGACGCCCATTGCGGCGAAAACGAAGACGATCCTGAGTAGCTCAGCAGGGATTTGAGAGAACTGAGGGCCGTCTGCCGAAGTGGGAAGATCTGCTGAATCTCCTTTCTCGTTCACGTCAACCATGGTCATGGTGGTTCACGAAGAAAGCGCATGCATCAATTGCGACCTCTTGAGTTCGGTGGCAGCGAACGTCGGACCATCGGGCCGACTAGAGTTCTTGCGTTGAAGGTCGAACCTCTGAGACGATTAGTTGATAAACACAGTCCCGCATTCGCCATACTGATTGTCTGTATTTATCTATACTATTGCTCAACAGATGCAATACAAAGGCTACCGCTGTTACCCTTCCCAGTCCGACCCGTAGTCTTCGTAGTCGAATATCTCTACGGATGCATCTATACAGATGACATTAAAAATGATTGGAGTCGTAGATTCGGGCTGATCAATTGAAGACTCACCATGTAAAGGTTCTCCTGCCTGTAGGCGTTCTTGACGAGCTTGCTCTCTCAATTGGGACAATGCGTCCACATAGCAGTCCCACTCCACCCGGCGCCTTCCCAAGCGACCGCCAAGTTCGTCTACGAAGTCCTTTGTGACACACGGACACCTCCGTAAGACGAGACACTCAAATTGACCAACGCCCATGTCCGCATGGTGGCGACAAAGTGCGTCGACCAACTGACGAACGAGAGCGACTTTGTTCATGAAGTTGATGTCTTCGAGGACGACGCGGCGAAGCGTAGGAAAGAGCGCAGCACCTTTCTCAATCAGAGCGGATACGAAGGACGCTGCATGCCGAGACTTAGAAAGAACAAGCTCCTGAACCGCCTCGTATGACCCGTAATAGGCGGGAAAGTCCCGCCAAATGACCTCGTTGAAATGGGTGGACCTGGGCCGGGCGAAGATGGGTAGAGACGCATACATTTTGAAGATGTCTTTCTGAATTTCGGGAAGTGCGGTTGGTATGGGTAGAGTGATGGAAGGTTGTACGTGAAGGGGAAGCGGTGATCCATCTATAGTGCAGGGATCCTCGCCGACAACCCTGTGAGGAGATAGTTGTATGTGTGAGTATGAGCACCCAACAAGTGTAGCGGCGGAAAAGTGCTGCTTCAGAGTCTCCGCGCCGGTCTCGATATGCCACCGCACGACGTCAAGTTCTATTTCATCGGCGCCCTCCAATTCGAAGATGCCCATACCGGTACCTATTGCGATGTCGCAGCGCGAAGGGAAGGAAACGTAGTTCAGTATGGCGAAAGTGTGCATCCAATGTCCCACGAGAGCTAGATGTGCGAGATGCGGAAGTTTGACGCAACGAGGCTCGTGTACCCGCGAGGGTTGGCATTCGAACAGTGTTCTTTCGCCTGAGTCGCTCCAATACGCGTACGAAAGGCTTTCGAGCATCGGGACGGCGTGGAGATAGTCGATCATGGAGTCGATATCGTCCCAAGCACGGATATGATCGAGTTCTAGGACACGAAGTGTTGTATTGAAGAAGACCGTGGGTGGTTTCGAGGGCAAAATGCATTGCCCAAGCTCGATCTCAATGAGACGAGGATACTGGGCGGCAAAGAGTTCCGTAGTCAAGTGAACAGGGTTCCATGTGTCAAAGTTCATGTCATGAGCACGTAGTCGCAGGTGAAGGCTCTGTAGGACGTCGTTTGGCTGGGCGATGCGTTCCAGTAAGGCTCGGAGAAGGGCCTGCCCATGGGTGGACATGTGTCCCATCGGGCCGACGGCGAAGTCGATTCCAACCGTGAACGTGAGGTCGAAAATTTTGACTCTGTTCCAATGCGCAAGGACTAGCTCAGCAGCCTTGCGATACTCGTTACTGCGCTTGTAACGGTGGTCGATGGTCACATAAAGCGGGTTGTCGGGGCATCTTGCTAGGCAAGCAGTCGTCCATTGTACGTTTGGGAGAGGGAGAAATCGAGCCCAGAGCTCTTGACAGTCCAACGCAACGACCCTCCAGCGCGAACATACGTGGCTCAAATACGTGCACGGCGGGGTGTTGAGCTTGACGTTGTCGACGTCGCTGAGCAAGTCCGCGGTCTCGATGAAGATACGACCGAGCAACTCGGCAGGCAGGTCTTCAATACCGAAGACGCGCGGCTCTGTATCCAGCATGGGGTTGAGTCTTCTTCGGGAGAGGCAGGAGTTCGGCTGCAGTCCTCGTCGTCGAAGGCAAGTGGTGACGGGCATGGAAACGCGTTGTTTCTACATCTTTCCCTCGTGGATAGAAGTTTGATCTGATCGCTCAGCACTGGCTTCCTTTCTTTCATTGGACGCTGGCAATTATCATATGTGTACTTATGGGACCCCCACTCGTTCGCTCAGGCGAGAGTAAAAATTATGGACAAGTTTCCTCTGATTTGGGGTGATTTCAACCGCTGAGATGACCAGTACGGAGTGGTATGGAACGTTGGCTTAAGCCACATAAATGAGGTCTGAAAATGGGCAGGATGGTCGGGTCCATGCCGGAGATGATGAAGGCGTGCGGCAAGAGACGGAGAAGGCGGCGCGCGGAGAAGTGTGGGACCGGCCCTCCGTCATTGACGCGTTACCATTCGGCGGGCACAGCACACCCTGCTCTTGAACCCGAACCTCGACCGTCGCGCAGGAGAAAGTTGGATGCGCTCTTGCTCTTGATACTCTCGTTTACATGTCTCTATGGCTTCCCCGTCCTCACCCGCGCGCTCTAGCTCGACAGAATCTACGCCTATTATACAACTCTAATCCCGCTCATGCCAACGCCGTTTCTGCGTCAGTCCTGCTGGCCCACCGGCTGGTGCGCCTAGAGTCAACTTCATCGCAAGCCGTGTCCTCTGCACGTGCGGCGACGGGTGTCGAGGATCCAGCGAAGAACGGGAAGCCCGCGCCACAGCCGCCAGCACCGAAGGAGCCTAAGGATATCGGCGAGCCGCAGAAGCCGCTCATGACCCGCGTTTGGGCGAAAGTCAAGCATGAGGCCCAGCACTACTGGCACGGCTCGAAGCTTCTGGCGAAGGAGGTTCGAATCTCGACTAGGCTGCAATGGAAGATTCTGCATGGCGAATCGCTCACTCGCCGCGAGCGTAGGCAGGTTCGTGTCGTGTGCCAATTTAAAGTTCAAAATTCTGACTGACAGGCGTCATACAGCTTAAGCGCACAACGCAGGATCTGTTACGCCTGATTCCGTTCGCGGTGTTCGTTGTAGTGCCGTTTATGGAGTTCCTGCTTCCGGTTGCGCTCAAGCTGTTCCCGAACATGCTTCCTTCGACGTTCGAAGACAAGTATGCGGCGGTATGTGTCTACCATGCACTCGGGATGTGATTTGTACTCACCCAGCATACAGGACGAGAAGGCACGTAAGCTACTTCGTGTGCGCCTCGAGATGGCAAAGTTCTTGCAAGAGACGCTCCGCGAGTCTGGTCTCAAGGCGAATGCCCACATCGTTGGCAGCGACGAGTTCAAGGAGTTCTTCAGGAAAGTTCGTTCGACCGGCGAGTCGCCTTCCACTGAGGACATTGTCAAGGTGGCCAAGTTATTCGACGACGACCTCACACTCGACAACCTTTCGCGCCCGCAACTTGTCAGTATGTGTCGATACATGGGTCTCAACGCCTTCGGCACGGACAACTTCCTCCGCGGCGCCATTCGCTCTCGGCTTGCACAACTTAGGCGCGACGACAACGCAATCTTCTCTGAGGGCATTGACGCGCTGAGCACGTCCGAACTCCAGAATGCTGCCCAGTCTCGTGGTATCCGCGCATACGGCGTCAGTCCCGCACGTCTGCGGGAGGAGCTCGCCACTTGGATCAACCTGCATCTCCACCACCGCGTTTCCGGCGTTCTGCTCGTTCTCGGGCGTGCTTTCGAGTACGACCGCCCGGCCGGTCGCGACAGTGAGGGCAAGGCGGCTGTCATTCGCTCGTTGGAGCACGTACTCAGCGGCCTTCCTGACAACCTGTTGAACGAGGCTGAGCTTGAGGTTGAGGCGGACAAGGCCAGCAACAAGCAGCGGCTCGAGGTTCTTCAGCAACAGGAGGAGCTCATCGAAGACGAGCAGGAGCAGGAGCAGAAGGAAGAGGAGGCTCGCCGGGCCCAGCGCGCGGCTGAGGAGCGCAAGAAGCAGGAGGAGGAAGCGCGCCTCGCCGAATCTCTTCTGCCTGATAGCGAGCTTCACCCGCCTGAGGAGGCGCCTGCAGTTGAGGACGCACGCATGACCACGGAGCAGCTCAAGGAGCTTGCCGAGGTGCTGTCCGTTCTGAGCGCCAAGTCATCGGTCATCAAGGAGCGCGACGAGCTCGCGGCGCTGATGGCCGAGAATGAGGGCACTGCTGCTGCGGAGGATCCGAAGAGCGCGCAGGCGGCACTCGTCAAGCGTGTCAGGAGCATGCTCACGAAGATCGACAAGCAGCTCGAGGAGTACGACGCGCGCGTGGGCAACTCGCTCCAGATGGTTGCATGCGACCCACAAGGAAGGATTCCTATCCGCGACGTCGAGAAGGCTCTCAATGTTATCAAGCATAAGCCTGAAGAGGACGTCGTGAAGAACGTCATTGAGAAGCTCGACGCGGACAAGGACGGGTTCGTAGAGCTCGAGCATGTTCTTACGCTGGCGCGCGATGAGGGTCTTGGTATGTTTGATACGCATATAACTATAATCGCTGGCTGACTCCTGCTCAGGTATCGTTATTGACAATGATAAGGAGGCACAAAACATCCTTGGGCAGGGAAGGGAGCTCAAGGATGCGCGTCCGCGCAAGGAGGAGATCGTTCAGGACAGGGAGTAGAGACGTCGGCCTCTGTCCTCCAATTACTTACATTATTTCACGTCTATATATACGCTATATACACTACTCGCTATCACAATCACATAGAGATGGAGTGGCGGTGTGAGGGGTGAAATTGGATTGTGCTATACGACCTACCAGTACTGACAATCCCTGAGGTTACACGGAACGGTATGACATCGGGCCGAACTTCCGGCGGCCGTGGTTGGGAGAACACACTGCTCGTCACGTTTTTCTCACTAGCCACCATCAGCTCTTGCCGTATACTCAACATGGCGGAGATAATCCCTAACGTACCACCAGCCGACGACGAGAAAAATCATGTAGATCATCTACCAGCCGAGCTTCTTGCGACCATATTCAAGTTTACCGCGTACAGCCTCAAACTCGGCGACTACCCAAATCGCGGCGGGCACCCCTGGATCTATCTAAGCCATGTCTGTCGACGATGGAGAACGGTGTCACTAGCTTGCCAGGAGCTCTGGTCGATGAACCTACCGCGAGCAAACGACCGTTGGACGGCGATCTGCCTGTCTCGTGCTCCCTCGATGCTACTGGACGTCGTCCTCGAATACACCTACATGTACCGCGGAAAGGCGTACCACAAAGCCGGCTTGGTGGTCATATCCCAATGGCCACGGATCAAGACACTTCGCGTTGACTTAATTTGTGAACTGGTTGCGGATGAGAGCTCGATTGGCGAGGCGGCCCAGGATACGCTCGACGAACTCTTCAGCAAGCTGTCCGCCCCAAATCCTGATTTGGAGGAGCTCGTTCTGTTCCTGAATACTGCGAAGCACGATGTACCGTGGTTTCCTGTTCGTCTACCCCCGAATGTGTGTTCGAGTCAACAACTCCCCAGACTACGAGAGGTTGAACTCAGGAACTGCGTCCTACCACATTCATCAGCCCATTGGCCACCCTTTCCCTCGGGTCTTCGCGTCTTGAAGCTTGTCAATACCCAGGCATGGGATGACACTGACTTCATGATTCAAATCTTGCAAGAGTTACCGCTGCTCGAAGTGCTTGAACATAGATTCGACAACCATCACAAGGCCGAGAATGTGAGATGCACACCGTCCCTCGCCCATCAATCGCGATGCGTCTCTTTACCCCGCCTTCAAAACTTGATTCTTGAAGATTGCTGGCTCCAAAACACTATCATGTTCCATCACCTTGCCGCCCCCTCAAGCTGCAACCTCACCATTCATCGCTCCGTCTGGGACTCACTCCACGTCCCCGACACGGCCGAAGACGCACTTCAGACGTACATTTCCACAGCACGAGAGTCATTAGTTCAGCACTTCGCGAGTGCCAGCTCGCAGCAGGTTGTTTTCGACTATGTACGCCTTGATGACATCGAGATATTTGCCAGCAGCGTACCCAATGGATCGCACTCTGGTCACGCTGGTCTACTCCCATCGGAATTGATGATCAGTATTCCCGATACTGATGACGAGGACGAACACAATCCCCTCCTCCATGCGTATTTCTCCCATCCGGTTTTCACAAAGACCAGCCGTCTCGGCTTCAGCAGAGAGATCTGGAGCTTCTACCGCGACCGCTACGAGGAATACACCAATGTCCGCCAGATAGTGTTGCTCTATCCTAGCGACGTGGATGCCTTCACGTCGGCTCTCCGGGAGAAAGGCGCCGCTCTCTTCCCCATGCTTTCCAGCGTCGTTGTCGAACCATACGTCAAAGACACTGATCAGGCGGGGGACCTAGTTGACGCCCTGTGTAATGCCCATGCCGCTTCCGAGCAGTTCGAGAGTCTTGAAATCCCTGCCCGTCTTTTCCATGAAGACTTCCTGAGCGAACTGCGCGCGAAGATAGGCACACATCGCTTGAAAGAGCGTTCAATGTGACCCCAACCCCTTGACCGCCAGGATGTAAAGGGGGAGCAATAGTGTTGTTGTCTCACGTCGTGAGAGTGCGTGCAATTTCCTCTCTGCTACTTTTCTTTCACTGATTGGTACATATGCAGAAGAAAGAACCACAGATGAAGACTAAAGGGCCGACTAGTATACATACCTCGTCTCGCGCAGAGCCCTCTCTTTGTCACGATCAGTTTTACACACCAGCATGTACCCTGACTTGCTGTTGTATACCAGTCTGAGCTTTAATAGCGAATGTCACTTGATAGAATCTGAATACTGAGTGACAGTTGAGCCGTGATATCGACCGCCATCGGGCCGATGCTCCGTCTAATCGCCGGACGAGGCGCGGTGCCCGGCGTCCCTCTTCAACGAACCACGATGTTCCTCCCTATGCATATCCCAATGTCCACAAGCAGCAGCTATTCAGAGGCTGTATCACCATCTACCACCACTCCCCCGGTTCTTCGTCTTCCTACCGAGCTTATCAACCGCATATTCCTGTTCATCGCGGCACACTATCGAGTCACCGACGAATATCTCCACGCCCCACCCTGCCTTTTCCTCACCCACATCTGCAGACGATGGAGGACGGTGGCGCTCGATTGCCAAGAGCTCTGGTCTACGCGCCTCCCCAGATCCAGTCCGCGATGGACGGATCTCTGCCTCTCCCGCGCCCCTACTATCCCGTTGGATGCCGCGATCGAATACGAGTTTATGGACACTGATGCCGCCTATCATCAGAACGCGTGGACAGTGCTGTCTCAATGGTCGCGCATCAGGAGTCTACGAGTGCACGCGTTGTATCAAGCAACCTTCTTCGGCGTCGAAGCGAGCGCGGTGACGATGCTCAATAGCCTCCTGGAAGCACTCTCGGGGCGTAACACCGAACTCGAACAACTCGAGCTGTCATACCAGACACAGAGCACTCCGCCCTCTTGGTTTGGGTTCGAATTACCCCAGGTCTGCGCTGGGGAACAGCCGCCCAAACTTCGGGACCTCCAACTCACGAATCTTGCTCTCCCGAGCGCAACTCCTTCGCTCTTGTTCACCGCCAGCCTCTGCAGTCTAAAGCTATACGAAACCAAAGCATGGACGGACGTGAATGCCATGATACAGTGTCTACAAGCAACGCCCATGCTACAAACTCTCGAATACATTTTCAGCGAATACTACAACGATAGACGCTGGGCTTTCGATTTCCAACCGTCGCGCCAATATCACGAGCGCTGCGTGCATCTGCCACATCTCGAGCATCTGAAGCTGGGCTGTTTCTGGATACACACCATCACGATCTTCAAGTACATCGCGGCGCCTTCGCGCTGTAACGTCGATATCTTCCAGGCCCAGAACTGGGCGAGCGTGAAGGGCCAGCTGAACGATGACACTGTAACGACGCACGCCCATGCGGCGCGCGAGGCGTTCACCCAGCACTTCGCGGCCGCTATTGCACAAGAAGAAACATTCGACTTCGTCCGCCCATCTCGATGCGCGATATCAGCCAAATCCATCTCCGGGCATTCAAACTCAGAGACGAGGCTGCTCCCCTCCACATTCGACTTGCGTCTGTCCGATGCAGGCGCTTGGGAGACGGGCCTCAGTGTAGTCACCGCCATGCTCGCCCAGTTACCAGTTTTCGCTGGGACTCAACATATAACGTTCAGCCGCAGACTCTACACTTCCAACCTCAGGGCCTTCGACGTCTTCACGAACGTCCGCAAGATGACGTTCTACGATCGTAACGAGCTCTGGGAGGTCGCGTCAATACTGCGCAGCAAGGGCGACACCTTCCTACCCGTCTTGGAGGATGTCGTTCTTGCGGAGGGGCATTTCGTTGAATCCGATGCCAATAGGATGTATGACTTTGCAAAGGCGTTGCGCGATGCTTATGTCAAGAGTGCATGCAAGCCGAGACTCTGCGTTCCTGGGAAACATATCTCGCGGGAGATCTTGGACGAGTTGCGGAGCCTGGTAGGGCCGCAGCGTTTGGTGAACTGAGTGGAGGTACTCTATGCAGGAAGGGAGGCGCAGATGCAGTACTATCAGCACGGATGTACATGTAGCTCAGAATGGATTCAAAGGAAGAGATTGGTGTCTCCACAGGCCAATTCGACCATGCCACATGTTGGGCAATGATTTGAGTAAGGCTGAGATGGGCACTGCGTTCCGATGAGATAGATCAGATAGATCAAAGCGCGTGAGGAGCAAAACTTGAACAGTACAAGTAACAGAAGCGAGTATACACCCGAGCAAAAGAAGAGCAGGATTGATACAAGAACCGAACCCCTCAGATATCCCAATCATCATCATCATCCACCCTCCTCTGAAACTTAATCGCGCCCGCCTTCGTACTAGACGAGTTCGCGTCCTCCGCCTACACATCCGATGAGCGTCACCCGACAGAAGAAATGGAGAAACACGCACTTGCTGCAACAAATCAATCAACTGCGCCTCGCTCACTCGTCCCCTCAACTGCCCCGTCTGCGCCATTCTCGCCAATATCCCCTCGATCTGCCTCGACCGATCCGGCGCGACGAGCGCGATGCGTGCCACTACACACGTCCCATCAGTCATTATGTCTCCCATTATCGCCATAAGATATACGCACGTCGTTCCCTTGCCGCCGGCTCCAAAACGGTCGCCAACAGCTCCCTGATCTGCTGCGCCTGTGCTTGTTGTTTGGCCGCTTCGTCCGCGTCGCCCCCCGGGCCGCCGCGGGAAGATGATTCGGATTGGAGCTGCTGCATCCGTGCGGCGCGGATTGCGGCAAGTTCGTCGTCGGCCATTGTTGGTGTAGAGTAGGTGGGAGGAGGAAAGGGTAGCTGGGTGTGGCGATGGAAGGTGGAGGAACGTCGGTAAGCGCGCACGGGCAAGGCGCGGGTGGCTTATATTGAACGCGGTCACGCGACTTCTTTCTGGGCGACGATGAGGCGTGATGTAGCGCGAAGGTAGCGTTGGGAAGAGCCCCAAATCCAAGGATTCCCCGGAGAACACGTGCCAAGACGGTAGTAAGAGTATACATACCTGTCCTCAAATGTACGCTTCTACTACAGTAGCGAAAGCGGACGTGAAGTGAATGGTTTGGGTATAACGCCTGATGCTCTACATGGGATACGCCCATTCTCGAGGAAGAAGAGACACATGATTGACGGAGGGGTATTATAATGGATTGCTCTCATACTCGTGAGATCAAATGAATGTTGTCTGAGAAAGATAGCAGGAGAGGGCTCGTGAAACGGAAACAGTGATCAGTAAAGTAGTCCGTAATCGATCACGAAATTGTTCGGATGAGTCAGTGGTACCGGAAGCGGACGTACTTGCAGCAGCGGAGTCACTTTTCCTGGCGAGACGAAGACTACACCAAGAAGAAGGACATGCTCGACCCGGTAACAATCGACACCAGTGCCGAACTTCCAGTTCGGGTTCTCCCAATTGACAATCGCCACGTTCTCTTGACTCGCCTTCTGCTCAACATTTTCAGTAAGTAGTGCTAGCACAGAGACCATAACTCACCTCGATGCAGTCACGAACCTTCGCAGCCACGAGTCGTGCCAGTCTCCGCGCAGGAACAGTCTCGTTCGGGCGGCAGCGTAGCTGAATCTGGCGCTCATATGGTGCGTAATTGAGAAGCTGCGCAGTGCCAGGGAGTCAGAAGTGTACTTAATGTAGAGATAGGAAGGGCTGCGTACGTTGACTCTGACCTTCAGCGAGCTGCCGGATATGCGAGTGGCTGTGTCCGGTGGGATCGCCTCGTAATCGGCATCCGCCGCGACACTCACTCCCAGGCCACCATCAGTCCGCGTCCGCTTGAAGAACAGCGGGAGCATGTTGGTACGTCGGAGAGCGCTTTCTGCTCTACTTGTGCCATCGAACGGAATGAAGGGGCGGGTAGGTACGATGAGGTGAGGGTCGGGTGCGAGGTAGTCCAGTACACAGTATGGGGCCAGGTCCAGCCATGGCATCACGCAGTCGGACTCGTGAAGGTGCAGTGCGCCATATGCGAAGAACATGAGGCACTGAAGGAGACTCTGCGTAGTCGCGTCGCCGAGGGACCTGAGGATGAAGTCGTCAAGAGACATTGTTTGTCCCGTGGAGACGTAAGGCCCGTAGGCAGCTCGCGCGAAGCGACGGACGCGGTCCAGAGCGACTTCTACGCCAAACGACCGGGCCACAACCGAGTTCTCGATCCTTTGACGCAGCAATGCCATGGCGGGACTTAGCCACAGGCTGTTCACTGGGTGAGTGCAGGAGTGATGGCAAAACTTAGGTGGAGCAAACACGCTCGAGGGTTTTTATATTCACGAGTACAAAGCCAATATTTGCACATCGTGCGATCCAGCCCAATGCACTCTTCGCGGGCACAAGGTGCAGTGTGCTTCGCAGGGCCTGTAATGTATACGATCGGGCCGTGCACAGAGTTGACTCGTCGTTAGTGTTTCAACGAATAAGATGGTCCAGCCATGCCCAGTGAGCTCGAATGATTGTGGCGGCAGCATGTATGCCGCGTTCACTACATGCGACATCACCGAGTCTGTAAGAGCGTTGCCCCTTGTCCTTCATGAGGTTCAGTATCAGTACGCCTTGAACTAGGTGCGTTGCGAATGCTTATTGGCAAGGAAACAGAGCGCCCGGCTGATACCTGGGCCAAGCGCCCCATCTGCGACGCCTGGAGGTTCGTTCCGACCGTGAAAGGATCATGGCGGTTGAGGAAGTGTTCATATAAACCCACCCTTATGGGGAGTATACATCCGGTGATGATACGCACCAGGTTGGAGAGCCTTAATTGCCTCACGACGCCGAGTTCTCGGATGGGATAGGGTGAATCCCACCTCTCATAGCCTGTCGATGTTGATCGGGAGCATGTCTCATATCCCCACGAAGACGCAGACGTACATGAACGGCCCGAGCCAAAGAGTCTCTGGAGCTGTATATGTGGGAGGATCAGGACGATCCTGTATGCGCTGCTGATGTCTGCGTCAGAGCAGGCGGGGGAGTAGTGGCTGCGGCGTCCGATACCGGACTCATAGGCGCCGCCATGGAGGGATAGTTGTCCAGACCGCGTACTGTGGGGGGCACGATCTGCTGCACAGCCCGTTGTGGGGCGGCAAGATACGAGGCTATGCCACGAGTGTTAACCTTATGTTGCGCGAGTTGACAAGTGATGCAATTCCGTGAGCTGTACGATGATATATCAGAGGTGTGACATAGGCGGGCTGCACTCATGTTCACAACATCATGCATCGCGAGATATTTGTTGATACCCAATAGAGGCGCGTAATTGGTGGATGCGCACAAGGTCTATGAGCTGCAGGGATATTTTTGGAGAAAAAATGCAGCTATGCAAGTTGCCCTTGACCCCGGACGGCCTCGTCTCGCTCCCATTCATGAAGGTAGCGTCCCTCGCTAGTCTTCGTTGAGAACAATGGAGCACCCACGAGTCACAGTTCACATAGCGAACATAGCGGATATAAACGTATGAATACGATGGTCCAGGTCCTGGTACACAAGGATACATTTGGCGCCGAGGCTATACGGGATGTGTTCATCGATGAAAGTGTATATCGCTGCGGGACCTCCACGGACACAGTCCACTCCACGGGAGCCGGACCAGAACGAAGATGGCGTACTCGACGCTCCGGCGATTGCGGCCGTGCTAGGTGATTGGAGCGATATGAGATCGTGAGTGTAAGGTAGTGGTGGATCACGCTCCGTTGAATTCGAAGTCATAGTGGGCGTCAAGCGAAGGGGGCGGTATGAGAATGGACGGCAGAGGACGCGATGGTGGTGGTTCGAATCCAAGCTTCGACAGATCCGCAGACAGCGGCGGTTTCGGGACGGGCAGGAATGCGGCGCGCGACGCAGGTTCCTCAGTACAGAGTATCCTCGAGGTAGAGCTGTACTCGAAGGACTTCGCCCACTAAGCGTTTTGGTGGTGGGCCATGTGGTACGTAGTCGCAATCAAGTCCGAGTCGCGTCTTGGTCGCGTCGCAGCCTGTTATCCCGCCCGCGATCGGGATCACTGTGTTCAGACGCGGTCACATGAAAATGTGATAGAACATACGCGCGCGCCGTCGGCGTCGGCATCGCGGTGGTCCAAGAGAAGAGCTAACCCATCAGACGCTTGTCATAAGAATATCAAAGCACATCACGCGGCGTTTCCTCCAATTGGATTGATACTTCCCTCTCCGGCAGTCCTGCTCGTCCACGAGCTGCCCAGTTCAAACCCTCACGCGCCCCCGCTCTATCCTATGAACGTCCCAATCCTGACACTCTTCCTTCCTGAGATCGATGGCGCGTTCACGGACGATGACGACAGTGAATGGGAACTCGTGGGCGGTTCTGCACATTCAACAGCCCTGACGCGTCAAACCACTGAGCTCTAGTGAAACACTAGGGATATATATGGCGGAAAATCAGAGAGCGCGCGCGCACCTCCGGTCATTCACCCGTGCACGCCTCGCGCCGATAAAGTATACAGACCAGGAGCTGGCTAGCGGCCGACTTGTATCACTACAAGCACCTTGGTACATGGTAAGCTGCGTCAGGACCCCGGCGCTTGCGCCGCTAGGATGTCATCCCACCCGCGATCGGATCACCGTCGCCAGGCGCGGTCACATGACAATATGAAAGTACGCGTCTGGCCGAACTTATATATACAGAAGTCCTTAAACGTGATGTAGCAGGTGCAGAGCAGGTACGAGTACGAGTACAAGGGACACAGAAAGCGCGAGTACAGAACGGGAAAAGCGAACAAGATAGCATCAAGATGAACGTTCAGTCCAGGGCGAGCAAGATAGCAAACTCCACAACGTGCACAGAGGATACATCAAGCATGAGCAAAGAGCGAGCCATTGACAACCATCTCCTCGGCGCCGTCTTCTATCTTCACCGACACAGCCCCACCATCCATATTCCACACGAAGTCCTCGTACACCCTCCCCTTCTCGGATGCACACCAGCTCGCAAGCCCGCTCTGCTCATAGGCGTCACGCATAGAATTGAGACGCGTTGGTGCGAGCGCGTTTGCCTCGAAGTGGGCCCAGAAGGCGAAGTCGTAGGGCGCGTCCCAGATGTTGGAGGGCGCGTCGGGGATAGACTCGGAGACTGAAGAATGGGCGTCAGTTGTTTCTGAAATGCCTCTCTAGATAAGTAAATATACCTAGGCCGGCAGATACCATGATCTGGCACGCGTCACAACAATCAATGCCTTCGCACCCGTCCACCAGGACCCTCGGCCCGCACGTGGAAATCACCGCGTCTTCGTCCACATCGCACTCAGACGCGTTCTCATACTCCGTTGCAGAGTATTCAGAGCGGCCCGAGCGCATATAGTCGAGCGATAACGTCGAAAACTCCGACACAGGCGACGATGACGGCGAGCGTGCCGCCCACGCGCCGTCCACATCCGCATCAACGTCCTCGTATCCAATCACCTCGCTATCGAGCGACTGCCCGCGCAATCGTCTGGCAGCCGCACGCGTAACGCGCTGCTCGCCATCCAAGCACGAGGGTGCGGGAGCGGTTGGAAACCTCTCCGCCTTCTCCTTCCTCGGTTGCGGCTTCACCCTCGGCCTCCTCATCTCCTCCAGCTCCTCCAGCGTCGGCTGCAACCTCGGCTCCGGCAGCCCCAGCTCAAACTCCTCCCTCGGTATCCTCTGCCGTGCCCTCTGCATCGCCTGCCGCTTCGCGCGGTACCACGTGTGCACGGCCACGGGGAGGAGGTCGTGCGCGGCGGCCCAGCGTTGGCGCGATTCGACGGTGGGGAAGTGGCCGGGGTTCAAGAGCCAGAGGGTTGTGAGGTAGCGCGTGTGGTGTGGGCCGAGAACGGGGGAGAGGCGGAGGGTTGGGTCGACGGAGGGGGAGCGGGAGGGCATGGTGGGTGGGGTGACTATATGCGCTTGTCAGACGCGATCGTGGACCGCGGGAAGGAGTAAACACGTACAAGCAAGTACCCTAAACCGATGATGATGAGAACGTGTCTTTTACAAGGCTGCAGGTGTGAGCGTGGAGGTCAGAAGGATAGACGACCTGCAGGGCAAGAATGCAAGACGCGTCCGACGCGTCGAGGCGCGAACCGCGTTTTGACGCGCGCGCTTCCATCCCTCCCACGAAGAAGCGCCGTCAACCGCAAACGATAGATCAGATCGCGCACGTATGTACGGCGATTGTAAGTACACAGCAGGCATAAGCGCCACGCGACATAAACTACTTTTTACCCAGCCTCCTCTTCGCCGCCTTCGCCTCCCTCTCAAACCTCCCCTTCTTCCTCCTCGGCCCCTCCTCCCCACCATCACCCCCCTCACCATCCTCCCTCTTCCGCCCCCTAGCCCTCTCCAACGCCCCCTGCCTCCTCCCCCTCGCCCTCAACTCCTCATACG